CATAAAGCCTAAGGGCTGCCTTAATTCGAGTTCGAGCAAACACTCACTCGATTGAAAAGCATAGGGGCTACCTTAATTCGAGTTCGAGCAAACACTCATTCGACCATAAAGCCTAAGGGCTGCCTTAATTCGAGTTCGAGCAAACACTCATTCGACCATAAAGCCTAAGGGCTACCTTAGTTTGAGTTCAAGAAATAACACTCACTCGACCATAAAGCTTAAGGGCTACCCTAATTCGAGTTCGAGCAAACACTCACTCGACCATAAAGCTTAAGGGCCACATTAATTCGAGTTCGATCAAACACTCACTCGACTGAAAAGCCTAAGGGCTACATTAATTCGAGTTTGAGCAAATACTCACTCGACTGAAAAGCCTAAGGGCTACCTTAATTCGAGTTCGAGAAAACACTCACTCGACCATAAAGCCTAAGGGCTACCCTAATTCGAGTTCGAGCAAACACTCACTCGATCGTAAAGCCTAAGGGCTACATTAATTTAAGTTCGAGCAAACACTCACTCGACTGAAAATCCTAAAGGCTGCCTTAATTCGAGTTCGAGAAAACACTCACTCGACCATAAAGCCTAAGGGATACCTTAGTTCGAGTTCAAGAAATCACTCTCACTCGACCGAAAAGCCTAAAGACTACCTTAGCTCGAATTTGAGAAAATCATTTCACTTGAACTCTATTCGTCAAGTCTAAAAGCTATCTCAGTTCAAGTTCAAACATTCACTCGGGGACTATCTACAAGAAAAGGTCGAGTTCGAACATTCACTCGGACCTTCAATTAATTATCCCGTGCTAAGGCACTTTTAAGCCTTTGTATAAATTAACAAGAAAGGCAAAAGATTCAGAGGCCATAAAAGAAAGAAAGTTTTATATATACCAGAAATCATTTACAAGGGCACCATGGCCCTATCAAGTTTTTCTACAAAAGAACAAAACAGTCTTAAAAGAAAGAAGAAAAATACTAAAAGGACTTAGTCCTCTCCAGGAGCAGCATCTTCACCTTCGAGGCCTCCTTCGCTCTCAGAACCGCTCATACTCCCAGTATTATCATCATCGGGAAAGGCCAATACTCTGGCTTTGGCTTCGAGCCCCTTTTGCATTCTCGATCTCGGCTGTAAGATCGAAGCCACAAGCGTGGATCTCCTCTAGAGTCTCCCTCCGAGATTGGCATTTAGAATGCTCGGTAACCCAATTTGCTCGATCTTGAGCAGCCTCGACAACCTCTTTTGCTCGAACCTGAGCGACTTCAGCATCGAACCGATAAACAGCCACCATTGCATTAGCATTAGCCATGGCTATTTCGGCCTCAGATTTGGCCACTGCCAGTTCTGAGGCTAGTCTCTCTCGATCAGAAGTCACTGACCCCAACCGAGACTGGAACTTCTCGATATTCTTGGCTTGCACCAAGGTTTTCTCTTTTAATCTTTAGAGTTAGACCTCAGCCGAAGCCAGTTGTGTTCAGGCAATCTCTTTCTCTGAGGCGAGGCGGTCCATGTTCTTCTTCCACTCCTCGGCCTCCAATTTCACTACATTCACTTCAGCACGAAGCTACCTAATCACTTCAAACTTTTGCTCAACCTGCGGGATCGAGTTATTAGCCATCAATTCCGAGTCAATATCAATAAAACCAAAGATTCTTTGTACTTGCTCGGCCAGCTCAGTTTGTTCTTTCCGAGATACTTCCATCTCGGCCTGAAGTCTTTTTACTTCTCCTTCTCTCTGCCCACCGAGAATCTTTAAGGCATCTCTCTCCTCGGTAAGCCTTCAAACTTCGGCCTTGTACAGGCTCAGCTCCCCTCGGGATTGAAGAAATGCCTCGTGATGAAGCACAGAAGCCTACGAAAATAAGAAGGGATTATGCAAGGAAAGGAAAACACAAGTATGAAAATTAGCAAAAATGAACTTACCCGGTTTAGAGCTTGTTGGGCTTCGTTAAAAAGGCAAGGCACTCCCACCTCACTCGAGCTTTTTTGCGGAGCCTCCGAGTCACTCAGACCGGTGATGTTTCTACGCCGATAAAATAACCATGGAAAGGATCCTTCCCTCCATGGGCTCTTTCCCCGTGACAAGTTCCCATAGCTTGAGCGTCACGTATCATCGATTGGGAGAAAGAAGGAAAAGAGGGGGAATCCCCGATCTCTATGGCCCCGAGTAGGTCTTTTGGGGCACCGCCTCCGTCTTCGGGAACACCAAGCTCAGTTTGTGCACCGGCATTCACCGCCTCTTCGACGATCTCTTTACCCCGAGGAAATAATCCTCGGTCCCCAAAGGCTCGGGAACTCGAGTCGAAGTCCCCTCCCCGACCTCATCAAGCCTGATCGAAGCAGTATCAACTCCCACCGATACCGAAATATTCTGAGTATCGGTGCTAGCCCGGGCACGAGCCAACAACCCGAAATCAGTTTCTTCTTCTTCTTCTTCTTCTTCTTCCCTTAGACGAAGGACTGATTCCATAGTCAATGGGATTATGGTTCCCTTGGGCTTAAGGACTGTCCTCTTCTTAGGTTTCTGACCCTCGGAATCCGAGGTCCTTTTTCTCTTACTTTCCTTCAACAACTTCGAGACAGGCGGTAAAACTTCTTCACCACCAGACGGGGGCCTCATGACCGCATCTTTTCCGAGACCTGTGAAGGGAGAAGATAAGTAAATTTATGCTTCGAATAAACATGTCACCTCGAATGACAAACGAATCGGTAGACCAAAGTGAAAGCTTACCATGAGTACGAGCTTCTTATTGACCCTTAGACAAATCGCGCCATGAGCGCTCGACAAATATTGATGTCGATAATAGGTTTTTGACCCAGTTCTTGATGGGGAACCGCACTCGGCATCCAAGCAACTGCTATGTCAAGAAAAACACTGATAAGAAAAGATGAAGAAGTAAAAACAACAAAAACTAAAAATGACATCACACTCACGGTTCATATTTTATTTCTCGGGAAATGGCATACTCTCAGTCGGGATTAGGTCCGAGGTCTTCACTCGAACAAACCGGCCCATCCAGCCTCGATCCTTAACTTCATCTATGCTCGACGTAAACACCTTGGTGGCACGACGTTAAAGCTTTATCCGCCCGCCTCGGTAAAGTCGAGGGCTATACAATCTTATAAGGTGGTCGAAAGGAAGCCCATTGATTTTGCTTACAAAGAAACGGATCAAGATCACGATCCTCCAGAAAGAAGGATGAACTTGGACGAGGGTCACCTGGTATTTCTTACAAAAATCGATGATGACTGGATCGAGGGGACCAGCGTGAAAGGGTAAGTGTAAATACTCAGATACCATTTCACGTGGGTAGTGATCGATTCCTCCGGTGTCGGTATCACGACCTCTTTGTTTACCCAATCACAATCTTTCTTCACTACATCAAGGAGACTTACCGGTATCGAGCATATATATCTCGATACCGGCTCGCATCGACTGGCAACCGACGAAGGTTTATCAACTTTAAAATCGAAATCAATAACACATCCCCGGGAACGATTTCTTCAAGGCGTGGCTCCACCACTGGTTTTCACCGGCCGGCCGAGATGAGGAAGCAACCTCTTTCTGAGGAACGATTTTAGATATCTTGGCCATTTAAATTTTCAAAGAACAAAGATGACGGGAAATTAAAATATTTTGGTGTTTGGTGAAGAACAAGCAAAAAGATATTCAGAACCTGGAAATAGATAATTTTGGAGAAGACAAAGAACTGTGAAGGTTAGAATGAGAAGAGTTGAAAGTAAAAGTTTAAAATGATTAAGGAAGGGGGCTATTTATAGGTTACACAATGACGGTTCAAAATTGGCAGTGACCGACCATCGACTGACGCGCATTTAATGCCTTGGTAACTGAACCGACGGGACATTTGTCACATACGTCACAATTGGGCTCAATGCAGACGTCAGTGTGTATCTAGTCAGAGGTTGAAAAATTATATCGTTTTTCGCCACATCCTTTTCGAGAAACGAGGGGACTATCTGTATACGGTCAAAACCGAGTTTGCCCTCGTGTGACTGATCAAGTTTGGGGCATGATGGACCGAGGTTCGTTATTATAATATTGAGCTATGATGTGAAGTCGGGCTGCTGAGTTCTAGCCCTAGGAACCGATCAGGGTCGGGAACAGATGAGATCGATATCGAGCCCAAACAGAGGTCGAGACCCAGAGACCGACCAAATACCGAGACCAAGTCAAAGTCGAGCTCGAAAACCATAGCTCGAGTCAATATCGAGCCCGAGACCTAAAGACCGATCGAGCTCGAGTCAAGGGACAACAAAGCCGTTATAGCCGCACTAAGGGAGAGAATCTCGGTGGAAATCAAGAAAAAGCTAATTAACTAATCTATCATGGGATCCCCACTATGTATTTTTAATTATACTCAAAGGAGGATCCCTCCACTATATGAAGAGTGGCTATCATTTATGTAAAGGACATTGAACATTGAGACATCAATACACTCTCACATTTCAAAGATTATTAATATTTATACAGAAGTATAGTAGAGATTATCCTTTTTGGGGGTTTTGGACATTGATTCATCCTGTTTCTTCATAAATCATTCTATACTCAATTTGGTTTGTATTTCATTCATTTTTTACAGTCAATATTCGATATATTTCTACTTATTTTTTCAATTTGTACCAAGTTATACCACGTATCTTTAAAATTACGTATAAATTAAACTCTATCCGTTTTTCGAGTAAACACTTATAAAGAAAAAATTAATATGTATGCTTTAGAAGTTTCACTCATTTTGCAAAACAACGAAAACATAGATTTTCTTCGGAGAACGAGGGTTCTTGGGGAAGCTTTTCTTCGTCAATAAGTTGGAAGAAATAGGGAATGACTTTTCTTTTGTATTCTAGGCACCACAGTTGGTTTTTAGACAGATTCTATTAGTTAGACTAAAAATGTTTCACTTTAATAAATTTAAGGGACTAAAGATGGTGAGGTTATATTTAGAGGACAGAATAGACCTAACCTAATACATAAGTAGGGACAATTTTGGTCAAATCTCACTTTGGGACGGACCTTTTATTTTTGAGCATTTCGTCCGAGGAAAGCGGAAGAAGCACAAGGTAGCAGTGTTTGAAAATTGAAGGCTCTCCGCTCCTTTCTATGGCGATATTGAAACTCGCTGGATTCCTACGCCCCAGGTTCTCTGCTTAAACCTCTGCTCTCTGTTTTCACGATACTCTCCTAAATGTATTACACAAAACCCCTGCTTAAACCCTAACTGCTCTTTTTTCCTTTTGTTATCCGATGCTCAATTTCCAATCTTATTTCTCCCTTTTCCCTTTTCCCTTTATTCGAAAATGGACGCGTATGTTTTCTTTTACAAGCATGGGTTATGGAAAATACCCTTGACCTTTAGTCAATTAATATAGATTTGGAAGAATGATTGGTTTGAAACGCTGTGATCATTTCCATTTTACTAGGAAAAATCGGAGCCAATCTCAAACTTGAATCTCCGTGCACTGTTGATTACTCTCGAACTTTGGTGTATATACACTTCCCATTTTGGATTAGATGCCAAATATGCCTGTTAAAAGAAAAAAAGATAGACGCCAAATATAAGTTAAAGCCAAGCACAAGCGTGTGACCTAGTGGTCAACGAAGTGACAATGAGAGAAGAATTATGAGGTCTCAGATTTAAATCTCAGCGTTGGCAAAAAACACTAGGTGATCACTTCCCATATGCCTAAGCCTGGTGGAAGCAAGGAAGCTGACCATACTTAAACTACTACTTCCTCTCTTTCAAAAGGAATGAATCTATTACTATTTGGGGAGTCAAGCAAGGTTTTCTTTGACCATGTTTTTTTCAAATAGGTTTTAAATATTTTAAATTGTTAACTATTGTGACTTATAGTATTTCTTATCTATTTCAGAAAACTTAAAGAATTTATACCCGAATTCACACTGAGAATAGTCAATTTGACTCTCGTAGTCCGAAAAGGTTCAAACAAATTGAAACAGAGGGAGTATAAATTTATTAAGGAAAGCAGATCAATTGGCTTAAGGACTCAGAAAAATAACTGCTAGCGTGCAGAGTGAGGATAAACTTTCTAACATGATGTTACTGATTAAAAAAGAAATAGAATAAAACTTTCTAACGTGAAGTTTTTCTCTCTGCTTAGTAGGAATCAGTTGTTGCATAAGAGATTGCCTGGAGAGGGTGTCAGAGATTCCATATGGCAGCATGCCATCAACACTCTTGCAGGTTTTTCTACTGTTAGACAGAATATTGTGGCTGATGGTATAGAGAAATTTTCCAGATATTTATGAAGTCTCTATGTGATATTTTCATTAATAAGTAGTAATGTTAGATGTTGATGCTATTGGAATCTTTTTGTCTTATCTCTTGACAGCAGGAAAATTGACAGGTCGAGTGTTTGCTCCCTACTCAGTATTTAAAGGCAAGGCGGCACTTTCTGCTGAACCTAGACTGCCCACATTTAGCAAACTGGATGTATGATATTTGTTACCTTTTTTAAAAATAGAATCGTCATGTTCAAATGATGCTTCCTCTCATCCTTTCTTCTTCTTATAGTCTGGAGGTGTTAAACTCAATCGCCGTGGTGTCATTATGTTGACATTCTGGCCATCTGTTGGTGAGCGCAAATATGACTGGGAAAAGAGGCAGGTAATCAATGTGCTTATATAGTTTGCAAATAAGAGCAACTTATTTCCTTTTCACCTCAGTAGTTCCTTTTTTTATTTTTTTTTTATTTTATAAAATACTAGCTCCAATAAGTTGCAACCATAATTTCAAAACAACCAACATTAAGATCCCAAAATCAAATTACAGTGCCAGCAATAATCAAAAGGCCTATTACTCTAAACTTTTTTACTCTTCATTAGCAGATTCCACGTTCTTGTTGTTGTTGTGCTTCCTAGCATACCTCTGGTTCCTCAAGAACTTGGGATCAATCCCTTTGGTGGAGCTGTGACAGTGTTTCCTGGGTTTCTTGATTCCATTCCTGTGAGCCTTGTACGACTGATTGTGAGCTGTGTGTTTCTTCGACTTGGCCATTTTTTGTCCTTGATTTCACAAACAACTGCAGCCGGCGTTAGGGTTTTCAGTAGTGATGAGCTCTCAGTAGTTCCTTCCAATCAACAGTCTCTCATTCTCTCTAATGCAGTGAGTCAAACAAACTTAATTTGAGCTTACACATATTAACGGACATTAGATATAGCAGGATCTTATTTTCTGCTTTTAGGCGTCTTCTTTCAGCTTTTAATGCTATTCTAGGCTGCAAAATTTCTTTCTTCTTTGCTGGTTATTAGCAGAGTCCAAAGTCTCTGGCATTGGGTTGATTAGTCTTGTATGAGCCACTAACTTATAAGTTTATAGTAAGCTTGCTTGTAAATTTCTCGTTAGTGTTGCATTGCTGCTTGGTCTTCCTTAGAGATATTAGTCATCTATAAATCCGTCCTTTTTTCTTTTCTCAAATATCCATCTGTATGCTACTTATAAATGAATACCCATCTGTATGTTTGCTGCATCACTCTCTCTTTCTCTTTCTCTACTTGTACGTGTTCACATATCTGAACTCTGACTTGACTGACAGATAATTCAACATATTGCAGTTGTTTGCTTTATCAGCAACAGAGGTTGGATCATTGATAAGTATCGGGACCAGAGATTCTTGTGAATTCTTCCATGATCCTTCAATGCTATCAAGGTTGATTGGCTGATTCGTTATTTTGAGTAGATATATCATATATATACATATATATTGATTACGCACTTTTAGATGGGATCCTTGTGTCCTACTCATTAGTAGTTTCCCTTAATTTCCTATCTCTTACTGTATATCTAAGCAAAAGTTAAATGTTACAGCAATGCCGGTCAAGTAAGAAAGAGCTTGTCATTTAAGCCTAATGCTGATGGCAGTGGTTATTTCGTTTCATTGAGTAAGTCTCAATCTGTATGTGCGCCTGTTCACCTTTGCTATTAAATTTTTCTTTCAACCCATTAGATGCTTTCAAAGTGTCACCATCTGTTCTGTAATGGGTAGCTATCCATGTTAAGGATCCATGGTATCCTTAAAGTAACTGTTTTAGCTGCATGTTCAAGAAATGATATACTATATGTTACATCCTTTTCCTGTATGGCGTCTTGGTGCGTTTCTTTCATAATTTGGCCAGCCAGCACATGTTAATATGTTATTAGTGCTCATAATTAATGCAGCATTTTGATTTTTTCCTTTATGCAGGTGTGGTCAACAATAATCTCAAAACCAATGATCGGTTTACTGTTCCTGTTACTACTGCTGAGTTTGCTGTTATGCGGACAGCTTTCAGTGTACGTTCTTCTAAGATGCTTTTGTTGTAAAAGAATCTGTTTCCTATTACTTTGAGATGCTTCTGTTTCCTTTTATTGTCCTAGCTCTGAGTTCGTTAGTGAAATATATATGATGGTGGATGAACATTTTATATCAGATAAATGGAGCTGTGAGAGAAAGAAGTTAAAATGGGAGTCAGAACCTCGTACATCACCATCTATCTAGCGATTGTCTTGTTTATAAGAAAACGTTTTTATTCTTTACACGAAAATGAAAAAGCATACAATCTTTTGATGGGCAATAAATGAACCTCATATGACGCTCATTGGAGTGAATGCCTTTATTTTGAGATTTTTTGAGAAAGTTTTGAAAATTAAGTTTTCCAAACAAAGATATGATGGTGATGTACGAGGTTCTGACTCCCATTTTAACTTTTTTCTCTCACAGCTCCATTTATCTGATATAAAATGTTCATCCACCATCATATATGAAAATTAAGTTTTCCAATCTTTGCAATAAACAAAGAGTTTTTGAACGCTCTGAGTTCGTTAGTGAAATATATATGATGGTGGATGAACATTTTATATCAGATAAATGGAGCTGTGAGAGAAAGAAGTTAAAATGGGAGTCAGAACCTCGTACATCACCATCTATCTAGCGATTGTCTTGTTTATAAGAAAACGTTTTTATTCTTTACACGAAAATGAAAAAGCATACAATCTTTTGATGGGCAGTAAATGAACCTCATATGCTCATTGGAGTGAATGCCTTTATTTTGAGAAATTTTTGAAAATTAAGTTTTCCAAACAAAAAAATTTCTGGGAATATTAAATGTATTTTATCTATTGTTCGCCTCCTTTCATTTATTCTAATCTGTTTGACTTTGACGGCTTACAAGTTGTGTACTTGCAATCACATTCTCATTCAAAGTGATCACCAAGTAAAATGTCCTTTTCTGATGCGTGCCTTCTACAAATGTCTCTCTATTGGTTTGCAGCTTCATTTGATTTTTTGGCTGTTCTTCTTTAAGATGGAACTTTTTTTGCTGTTGTTCTCATTGTCCATTTATGATTTTGGTCTCCTAAATGTAGTTTGCGCTGCCTCATATCATGGGATGGGATCGCTTCACTAATCAGCCTTCAGAAAGCATCTCTCAAAGCCCCTCAAAAGTGGTTCCACAACTTATGGAGACGGAGTGGGATAGATGAGAGACTATATGTTTATTGTGTACTGTACTAGTCTCATTCTCCTATGAACTAGGTTCTCTTTTTAGGTTCTACCGAAGAAGAAAATGTATGTGAATTAGCTAACTTTTCAGAAAGACTCAAACATTTTGGTTGTGAAAAGGAACTTGCTTGCCTTTCTGTCTTTTGGGTGCAATGTAAACTTAAGAAGCGTCTGGTTCTCTTGCATCACAGGTTGATTCTGTCTTATTGCTCTAGACTTCCTGCATATGATCAGATTAATTTCAGAGTTGAAACTATGGAGAATATATATCCTGTGTAGTGTAGGGCAAACAATTACAGTCCGTTAAAGTGGAATTGAAATCTCCATACCAGCTTGTGACACAGCCAATGTGTCTAATTAGCTCGAAATGCAGTGGCTTGAATAAATGATGTGTCTAACACCAGGCATCTCGTGACTTCACACTGACTTGACGGTTTATTTTGTAGACTTGCAAAAGCAAAGATATAGAGATGTTTTGGTGTTACAATCGTTTTCATTTAATCCGCCTCGACCCATGACCTAATGCCCTAATACAGTTATAAATATATACTAAAACATACTAGATTTTACTAAAATGATCCTAATAATCCATTTGGCACGGTTCGTTTTCACCGATTTGGTCGGTTTTCACAAAAACATGGACACCCCTTTAGCCACATATTATACAAACCCTATATACCAACTTTCTTTCTTTTGAAAGTTCTTAGTCTAAAACACTCCAAGTCACGCTGTACTGTGTACATTACAACCCGTAAATATTTACTCCAAAGTAATTCAGTACATTGCTGTGTATGGGTAAAAACCGGGATCATGATATACTCCGGCCTCCAACAGAGTAAAACGAGCTTGAGATATGATTGCAAATGATCGGAACCGAAGCAAAGATATCCTCGAGTCAGAGTACGGGGGGCGACCATCTACCCTCGATAATCTCAAGATCATGATTCGAGACCGGCCTAAAACTTGAAAGACTTCGGAGAGCGTCGCCAGGTAATCAAATGCGGCCAACAGAAGGCTGTAATATCCATGAGTGGATGGATATCACGGCGTGGGTCTCTGCACATATCGATGTAGAACCGGCAATCAATTAAACAGAAGAATTTTACCTTTTATAGAGTTATACTTAGAGTAGGATTCCCCTACTATATAAAGGGGGTCTAATAATTCATTAAACACGTCACACGCATTCCAAAGCAATATATTATTATTTTCTCAGTTATTAGCTCTTTCTCTTGTACATCAGTGCTGGCCATAGCGAGCCCAGAACGAGGGTGAATATTTCACTAAGGCTGAAATTATCCTCCTTGTGTGGTTTGAATCCTTTTTATCTTTGCTTGTTCAATTTGACTTAATTTATCGCTTTGTATTAAATTAATCCACGTATCCTTAAAACCACTTACAAATTTAATTGTTATCTGATTTTAAGGGTAAATAATTTGGCGCTCACCGTGGGGCTAAGGATAATAGTGGCAATTTGATACAAATTTGCATAACACACCCTACTTTACACTTGTTCTTTGAAGTGTCTTTGATTTCAGGCATGCGTTTAAAATGTCGAACTCCCAATCTGCCCCTCTAAACACGGATGCTGAGTCTGGCCACCATGGCGAGAACAACAATATAGCGCACGGTAACGAGGTGCCCCTCGCCGATCCCAAAGGAATTCCGGTCGCGGACCCGATCGACGCCAGCTCACATGTGGCCATCAACACGAATTTGCCCACCGATCCTGAGAACATCATCTGTGGGGGGAGTCCGCTCGGTAGCTCAAAATGCTCGTGACAGTGAATGAGATGGGATCAACTTACGGGTGATCTTCGAAATGCTGCAGGCGCAGTAGGCAGCGATAGCCTAACTATAGAACCGAAGCCTTGCTCCCAATAGAATAGAGCCCGAATAATCCCGGGAAAATACTCGCAAAAATGAATCAGCCGCAGATTGGCCAAATGAAGCTTAACCCGGAACCAACCCCGAGATAATAAAGATGATCGAGGATTTGAAAAAGCGGGTGGAAACGGGAGAAAAGAAAATCAAAGGCAACGACAAGAAGGTGGAGAGTTACAACTCCAGGGTCGACCAAATCCTCGGAGCGCCACCGATATTGAAAGGCCTAGACTCCAAAAGGTTTGTTCAGAAACCTTTCCCTCCAAGCGCAGCTCCGAAGCCGATCCCTAAAAGGTTCTGCATGCCTGAAATTCAAGTACAACGGGACAACTTAGCCAAATGAACATGTGACCTCATACGCGTGTGCCATCAAGGGGAATGACCTAGAAGATGATGAGATCGAATCTATCTTGCTGAAAAAGTTCGGGGAGACCTTGTCAAAAGGAGCTATGATATGGTATCACAACTTACCCCCCAATTCTATTGACTCATTTGCCATGCTCGCAGATGCTTTTGTGAAAGCACACACCGGAGCCATCAAGGTCGAGACCAGGAAATCAGACCTTTTTAAGGTAAAGGAAAGAGATAACTAGATGCTCAGGGAGTTCGTGTCAAGATTTCAAATGGAACGGATGGACCTGCTGCCGGTGGCAGACGATTGGGCCATTCAGACTTTCACCCAAGGACTCAATGCTCGAAGCTCGTTGGTTTCGCAGTAGTTGAAGCAAAACTTGGTAGAATATCCGGCCGTAACTTGGGCCGATGTGCATAACCGATATCAGTCAAAAATTAGAGTCGAGGATGATTAGCTTGGGGGCCTTTCCGGGTCTGTTTACCCTGTCCGAGCTAGTGACAGACCCAAAAGAGACATTGATCATGAATCAAGGCTAAGTAGGGATCGATATCAGCTGTATAACAGTGATCGTAGGGGTAACGGATCTGGATGAAACCCTGTGAGAAATGAAAGGAGAAGCGATCGGAGTCAAAATAACCGGGGACTCATGAGCAAAAACGGTTTCTTAGGCCCATCGGGCCTAAGGAAGCACCGAGGTTATCATAGTACAACTTTAACGTCGATGTTTTTGCTATTGTATCCGCCATCGGACGCATCAAAGACACAAAGTGGTCTCGACTTCTGCAGTCCGATCCATCCCAAAGGGATCCCAACTTAATATGCAAGTATCATGGCACACACGACCACAGAATAGAGGATTGCCGACAATTGAGGGAGAAGGTAGCCCGGTTATTCAACAACGGACATTTTTGGGAGTTCCTGAGCGATCGAGCCAAAAATCATTTCAGGAATAGAAATAAACAGACCGAGCAGGAGGAACCTCAACACTTCATTAACATGATCATAGGTGGGGTCGGCGTTCCCCAGGGGCCGATATTAAAGCACACCAAAGTATCTATCACGAGAGAAAAATGGACTCGAGATTACGTACCAGAAGGGACCTTGTCTTTCAACGACGAGGACGGTGAAGGCATCGTGCAGCCCTACAACGATGTACTGGTAATATCTGTACTCATAAATAAATCCCGAGTTAAGCGTGTATTGATTGATCTAGGTAGCTCGGCCAATATCATTAGATCGAGGGTCGTGGAACAACTGGGTTTGCAAGACCAAATCGTGCCTGCGGTTAGGGTTTTAATCGGATTCAACATGGCATGCGAGACCACTAAAGGGGAGATAACATTCCCGGTGAACACCGCCGGGACCATTCAGGAAACGAAGTTCTGCGTGATCGAAGGGGACATGAGGTACAATGCTTTGTGCGAGAGACCATGGATTCACAACATGAGGGCAATACCCTCGACACTACATCAGGTGCTGAAATTCCCAACACCTGGAGGAGTTAAAACAGTTTACGGAGAACAACCGGCCGCAAAGGAGATGTTCGCGATAGACGAAGTGATCCCAGTATCCGCACTTTCAACATCGAAAGGTCTGAACCCGATGGCCAAAGACGGGACCAAATAGCAATTACCGATACCTGTCTCGATGGAACCGGAGAAGCAGGGGATGGATGAAGACGATGACTATGGAGTTCCCAGATCTTTCATAGTCCCCGATGATTTCGACGCCACCAAATCAACTGGAACAAGTCATATTGATCGGGCACCTGCCTGATCGAAGGTACACCTGGGCACGGGGTTAAGCCACGAGCTCAGGAAAAAAACTCATTCAATTCTTTATATCTAACATAAATTATTTCGCTTGGTCCCATCTCGATATGATAGGTATTCCACCAGAGATAACCACTCACAAGCTGAGCCTGGATCCGAAGTTCCATACGGTCAAGCAGAAAAGGAGGCCTCAGTCCGAAGTCAAGCATGCATTCATCAAAGACGAGGTATCTAAACTCCTTAAAATAGAGTGCATCTGGGAGGTTAAGTATCCGAATTGGTTAGCAAACATAGTAGTAGTCCCTAAAAATGGAGATAAATTAAGAATGTGTGTAGACTATAAAGATCTAAACAAGGTATGCCCCAAGGACTCTTTCCCCCTACCAAACATCGATCGCATGATCGATGCAACGGCTGGCCACGAGATGCTCAGTTTTCTCGATGTGTACTCCGGGTACAACCAAATTCGAATGGACCCGAACGACCAGGAAAAAGCATTCCTCATCACTAAATATGGTACCTACTACTATAATGTAATGCCATTCGGACTAAAAAACATTGGTGTTACTTACCAACGCTTAGTAAATCGAATAATCAAAGAACAAATAGGATAATCGATGGAGGTTTACATTGACGATATGTTAGTTAAGTCCCTACGAGTAGAGGACCATTTGAAACATTTACAGGAAACCTTCAACATATTGAAGAAGTACAACATGAAGCTGAACCCGAAGAAATGCGCATTCGGAGTCGGGTCCGAAAAATTCTTTGGGTTCATGGTGTCCAACCGGGGAATCAAGATTAATCCTGATAAGATCAAGGCCATCGAGGACATCAACGTCATAGATAGTGTCAAGGCCATACAAAGGTTGACCGGACGCATAACCTCTTTGGGTCGATTCATCTCGAGGTCCTCCGATAAGAGCCATCGTTTCTTTTCACTGTTAAAGAAGAAGAATAACTTCTCATGGACCCCTAAGTTCCAACATGCCTTGGAGGAACTTAAGAGGTACCTCTCAAGCCCACCTTTTCTTCATACTCCGAAGGCAGACGAACAGTTGTACCTGTACCTAGCGGTATCTGAGGTAGCGGTAAATTGAGTCCTAGTCCGAGAAGAGGAAGGTACGCAATTTCCTATCCATTATGTTAGCAGAACTCTATGTGAGGCCGAAACT